CGCAAGAAGGGCTGCAGCGGCGTCCAAGGCGTCACGGATATTGGCGTGTCGTGCACAAAGCCCGCCGTGTACGGCCGCGGCGCCGGCTACGCCCTGTGGCAAGAAGACACGTGCAAGAAGGAGAACGGCGGCATGTGCGAAAAGAACGGCTTGATGTGGTACCCCCCGTGCAAGGCTGGTTTCCACAGTGTCGGCTGCTGCACGTGTTCGCCAGATTGCCCTGCTGGTACGACCGACGATGGCGCGTTCTGCCGCAAGGACTCGTACGGCGTCGGTGTCGGTGTATCGCGCTTGGGATGCCCCGCAGGCAAGGAACAGAGCGGTGCGATGTGCTACCCTTCCTGCGCCCCCACCTTTAGCGGCACCGGCCCCGTGTGCTGGCCGCAATGCTTTGGCGCTACTCCGTTCCAGTGTGGCCTCTTTTGCACGTCGTCGGCTGTAACCTGCTTCACGACCACCGTTCAAGTTGTTGGCTCGGCTGTCAAAGTTGCCTTGAGTCTGGTCGCCCTGGACTTCACCGGCGCTATGGCGGGCGTTGCCCAAGGCGGCATCAACATCATCAAGATCTCGCAATGCCCGGCTTACAACGCCACGTTGCCTTGACCGACCGCTGCGACGGGCTCCGCTCGATCAGCAAGCCGTGACCGACACGGAGGCCCATACTTCTTGTAACGTGGCGAACCAGTGATCTGCACTAAAACCAGTGATCTGCACTTTCCAACAAGCCAATCAAAATCATTGATGGCTTCTATTGGCTAAAAAGATTCCCTCTATCACAACGATACTGTAACAAGTAATAGGAGGGAATAACATCCATTTCCACAGGTGTGTCAAAGTTTGAAAATGGCGCCGAGAACGAAGTACTCGGCCACAGACATGGCGAGCGCTGTGCACGCCGTGCTCGGCAAGGAAGATACTGCCGTAAGCGTTGCCAAGCGTTTCGGAATACCTCTTCGAACACTACGCGGCCACATCAAACTGGCCAAGGCTGGAGGCGGCCAACCTAAGCGTATGGGCCCAACGCCGGCTTTGCCGCAGGCCTACGAAGAAGACCTGGTGACATGGATTCTAGCAATGGAGAGCGATGGCCACCCAGTCAACTTTAAGGATATCCTCTCCAAAGCCAATGCGATGATGGGAGTAATCCAT